AGGAATGGCGCTGAGGACATTTTCTCCTTCTCTGGTGGACTGGCTGGGGCAGGGAGCGTGGATGGGGAGGCAGAGGTCAGGATGGCTTCGTGAAACGGAACCGGGAGGGCCCCGTCCTGCCACATGCCCTTTTACTGCAGAGCAAGCCCCGTGCCCAGGGACGGAGACTGCTGGGAGCGAGGTGGGCGCTCCGCTCCCTGTCCTCTCCTCATACCTAAGAGGAGGGAAACTTTCTACCCTAATTTTCCTGCTGGTGATGCAAACCCCTGTGCTGCCTTTCGCCGGGGGGGTTGAAGTAAATAGTTGTCCTTCCTTTCACAGCCAGAGGTGGGTTTTTTTTTTTTATTTTTTTATTTTTAAGGACAGTGAGAGTTTTTTGTTCCGTAGAAGCATGCTGGTGGGGCTGTTACTGCAGGGTCTGTCTGTAGTCTTGTAGTCAAAAAACTCTCGTGGCCTTGTGTCTGAAAGAGGAATGGGACTTTGCAGTGGGAGGATGGTGGGAGAGGTGCTTTTCTCTGCTCTAAGACCAGAGAATGATGTTTTCTTGTCCCAGAACCTCAGTCTTCCCCCAGAGCTGCTGGGAAGAGGCAGCTGGCTCAGTGCTCCTGGAATTGGAGCAGGGTGTCTCCCAGGCCTGTGTGTTTGGGCTGTTGGCCAGCATCACCTGGGTGCCATAATCAGTTTATTAATGTGGCTGAAGCAACTGTACAAATCAGATGAAGATACCTTTTTTCCCCCCAAATAGAAGGTTGCTTTCTGATGGACCCACCACAGGCGTTCACTAGCTTAATCCACAGTTAAGATGTTCTGCTTTCCAGCAAATAATAAACTTTAAAAGGGGGATTATTTCAATTTTGGTACAGCAGTTAGCAGATACTTAGCACTCACTTAACGGAGATTCTGCCAAAGTGATTGTTCTGTGATGGTATGATCGTGGCTGGATGCAAGTTCCTCGACTCCTTGGGCAGATCTCCTTGTCTCCCCGCTAACCCCAGCAATTTGGGAGGAGTGGGGAGAGGTGCAGACTGTGGGTAGGCTCTCAGGGGTCTATCTGTGAAATCCAGCCCTTGGTCCTGTTTAAGTCAACTCCCCAAACTTGGCTTTTTTCTCCTCCCAGTAAACAGTCACTGAAGGCAGTTGCCCTGGAGATAGGGAAACGGCGCAGATAGAAATGGCATGCTTGTAATGTCTGTGATTCAAATATTGCTGGGTCAGTGGCTGCTGCTGGCGTGCCGCCTTTCTGGGGAACCCAGGGTAGCTGCATGCGTTTGGTTACCGTGTGGAAATTGTGAGGATCGAAAGAAAGCTGTCAGATCTCTTTCTGACCCCACATCGTTCCCTGACTCTCCCCAGATCACCCATGTCCTGTGCCTGCTCTCAGCAGCCTGTTCCAAATTGTCTTCCCTATTTCGTAGCCACCTACCTGGCAGAGGGGCTTTCCCCATATCCCTCCCTTGACTTTATTTGCCTACCGTGAAGCAGGCTGCAGTGTCTGCAAGCACGGAACCCTCCTCAAACTTGCTGGAAAGTATTCAGATCTTGGGATGACAGGTTAGTTTTTGGAAGGTGGACTGGAGATCCTTCCGGCTGGGCTTGTGCACCTCTGCCAGCAGGACAAAGGCTAAGCCACCCCACGACCTGCTAACGAGCCCTTTGCTCTTCTTGCAAGGCACTTTTTCTTCTTTTGCATCTGCGGTGATGATTTGTCCTTGTAGATTTTGACATCTAGAAGAAGACCTCCTCCAGTCCCCTCTTTTCCCGCAGCCCTCACAAGTGGGTACTCCTGCAGGTTTGTCCTGCTGCCAGCCAGGCTGAGGGGAAGCGGCAGCAGTGCCTTGGTCTGTGCTGCTCTCGGGCGGTTGGAGCTAAGCTGGATTTCAGCCCTGTGAACCATCAGCTGTCTGTTGGGGGCTGCTGGCTGGACCACGTTTGTGGGTTTTCTTTTTTTAACAATAATTTGATAAGCATCAATCGATAGAAGCAGTGGGGAGGAGATGGAGGAATTTGCCTGTGGTTGGAAATAGTGCAGTTGCAGTTAGCCGGAGGAACGAATGGTCAAAGGTAATATTTCCCGAGTTCTGAGAGCTTGTACGCCATACGGGTTTCCTTTTGCAGCGGGTGGGTGCTCCAGGTTGTCTCCCCACTGTGATAGTGGTGGAAACATCGTGATGTTTGTCTCTCCTGTTGTCTGAAGGCATGCCTGATGGTAGCATAATCGGAGCTGATTGGTGTCTCTGGAGGGTGAACCTGCTTTCTTTCCAGCTGGAGGAATCTGTCTGCAACTGCCTGGATTAGATGCTTTTCCAGAAAAGTCTGATCCCTCAGAACAGGCCATTGGTGCAGAGGAAGTTCTGGGTGTGCCACTGGTGATGAGGCAAATAGATTTGTCCAAGCTCTGCTTGAACTGGTCGGTGTCACATCCGTGGTTTGTGGCAGGAGCTTTCCTGAACCACAAGTAAAGCCTTGAGCTGCTCAAACCCTGCGATGGGCTAGTGTGTGAGATCCCTCTGCCTCTGAGCTGGCCTAGCTGTTGTCAACCCCTAGAAATATTTCTCATTTGAGACTCTGCAGAACTTCAGGGCCTCCTTTCTGGTTATGTTTGTACAAAAAAATCTGCTTTCATCTCCATGTGAATCAGTTATGTTGTGGCTCGACAGCAGCTCTTCTGGACTGAAAAAGAGACTTGGGGAGGAGTTGGGGGGGTGTAAGATCTGACAGGTTGGTTAGGAGTTGCGGTGTTGGTTGGGGGACCGTGTGAAAAGCATCTGCACCTCCCCATGTTCTTCTGGAAAATGCTTTAGGCTGGAGATGACATGTTTGGGTGTTCTCGTGGGCAGCAATTTAGGGTTTTCCTTAGCAAGTTATCTCTTACCTTGTGCTTTGGGTTTGTTGTCTGGACAAGACATCTCTGTGTAGACCCTTGATATCATTATGCATGTTTTGTTTCAGTATCTTCCCCTTCACCCATCATCAGAATGCGGCAAGGCCTGGCAGTGGGTGAGAAGTTCATGCTGGCACAAAGCAGAACAAGCGTGACACAAGCAAACAATCTTTTTCTTCCATTTCTCTGCCTGGTGCCTGTGTGAACCCCTTTGCTGGAGGGCCATGCAGAGAGACACCATCACCGTATCTGATACGGTGCAAGCTGGGTTTTCCCACACAGGTGTGGCACTGGGGCAGACTGGTGGGTCCCCATTAGGGCCTCGGACAAGGGTGCTGGGGCTGGTGCTTTGGTGCTGCCCATGTGCATCTGGGACCACAAGCTCTGCCTGGCACTGCTCTGAAAGCGAGCTGAAAAGCGGGTTCCTGCCTGGGGAGTGAGAATGAGTGGCCAGGCTGACCTCTCATGATAGAGAGCGCAGGTCTGGAAGCAAACCTTTTCCTGATGTTCAGGGTGTCCCTGAGGATGTGCCGAGTTGAATGTTAACATGGATGACATTAATGAATTTGCTGGAGCTTGATGCAGAGATTCCTGGAACATAACAGAGCATCATTATAAGACCTTTCGCAAAACTCTGTCTAGTTGTGCAATGCCCCGGAGGATGGGGGGACGGACATCACCCCTTGCTTTAACTGATCAGGTTTTAGACTCCCAACTCTTTTCTCAAAGCAGTAAATCCATCTTTGAGAGGTGTGCATTTCTCGGTGAGTGGGTGGGTTATCTAACCAGATAAAGGAAACCCGGTCCTGTCCCCAGAGAGTACCTGCGTGTGCGTGATCGTCTCTGCTCTAAGCGTCCTCAATAACCTGCAAGCCATGCTCCTGGAGGGCGGGCTGGCAGCCGGTGTGGCAGCAGCTTCACGGTAAAGTCTTGTGGGGAGAGTGGGCTCAGTGACTTCTGCTTCAGGTTAAACTGGCGTGGGGGCGTGCTAGGTTTGTGTGGCCTGAGCAGCCTTCACCCAAGTCCCTTCAAAGGCATTCCTGTCCTTGTCAGCTGTTTCAGGAGGCTATTTTCCCTGTACTGGACTCTAGAAGGCTCTTTTGTGAACAGACACTCTCCAAACAGCAGGTAGAGGGCAGGCCCACCTCTCAGACCTGCTTGCTAGCACCCATGCGAGTGATGAGATGCATGCCTGGCGGGGTGGTTTGTGTGTGCAGGTGTGATGGCTGCTCTCCACGGACCTGCCGTGATCTCATGTGCTGTGCTGGACCCCGGGAGTTGTGCTGAACAACAGCCAGCCACAAGAAATACGCTCCTGTGTGTGGCAGGTAGCTGGAGCCCTTGTTGGCCATGGCTTTCCTCCTGCCTGCTAGAAACGTGATGTAGGTGAAGTCATCTCATATAGCAAAACAATCCTGAGAACGGCTGCTGCGTGGCCGTGGAGCTGCTTGAGCCTGGTGTAATTTTAATCGTCCCAGGTAGCTGTCTTGCCTTGTGAGCCCTGTGGCAGGGAGGTTTTAGGAGTGCAGCTTGGTTTGCAGGTCTGAACTTGAAGGTCACCCTATGTGCATTGTGTTGGGGTTGGGCTGTGCTGGGAGTGATATTCGTAACGTGGCTGAAGATGTGCCATACGGGATGGCGGAGAGTGAGGGTGCTGAGATGGCAGTGTTTGTGCCCAGGTGAGAGGGGTGAGACACTTGACTCTTACTACTGCTGTACCCCTTCCTCAACTAATGAATCTTCTCATCTACTCCGGTACACCTTTGTGTCTGGGTATGCTGTGCACCTCAGCCATGTGAGATGTTTTTTCTTGGGGACATGTGTGAGAAGATGCTTTGGGGCAACGTGTTGATCTTTTTTCCATATTGCTCCCTAATTTCTTGATAAATGAATTGGCTGAATTTACACTCCATAAACTCATTTTCTACAAGTTTTATTTCACAGTGTTGTGGCAGGTGGCAGTTTCCTCTGGTGGTGGCTAAAAAATTGAGTACAAAAAAACCCCCAAACCCTGACTGTCTTCATTCTTTCCTGAAGTTTCTTCCTTTCTACAAGTCTAGCTCCTGTGTACCTGGGCAGTAGTGTTTGGAGGAGGAATTTCCGGTGGAAGTTAGGAAGTGACTGGCCAAACTGAGTTGTTGAGGCTGGCAAGCACTTTCTGCTTCTGCCCATCATCTTTCTCACAGTGGCTTTTTGTTTTTGTTGTCAGTGGATATGCAGCCGATGAAATTACACACTGTATTCGACCACAGGACATCAAGGAGAGAAGAGCTGTCATCATTCTTCGAAAGTAAGTGTTGAAGCCCTCCAGACAGTAAGATAAACTTGAACATGGTGGTGTGATGTTTCCTAAGGTGCTTTTAAAGAAAACACTTTAAAACTGCCATGCTTGTTAATTTGCTGGCTTGATCTTACACCTTGATTAGATGTCACTGCAATGCTCACTTGTGTCTTGCCATACCCATCGCTTGGCTGGTGGAAGTAGATGGAACTTGTTACTGCAGAGTTAATCACTTCTTGGCTCTGTGCAGCAGTACTTCATTGTAATGTCTGGGTTTGCAAGTGCTGTTCATGTCCAAACACCTGGCTTTCATTGGCCGCCTAAGTCCAAACAGCTAGGATTTCAAACTCTCTAGTTTTGGGCTATGTCTGATCGTATGATGCCCACATGTGTAAGTTACCTGGACAGTCCTTTGAAGCTGATGCTTATGATGAAGAATCTCCTTCAAAGCAGATAAAGTTTTCTTGGCTTTCATTTCCTGGGGAGAGGGAGGAAGATGCTGGCTTCGAAGGGAAGCGGATGCAGTGAATTTAGTGATCACTTTACAGAGCTCGTCCTTCGAGTCGGTGTTGGGAAGCCAAGCTCTGTAAGCTGTATTGCGCACTTCCTGTTTTAGGAGATACGCTGTCCTGGTCAGCTGATGGTGTTTCATCAGCCAGTGTCTGTTCCTAAGCTCTTCAGAAAAGAAAATGGAGGGGAAAAAAACCCCAAACAAACCAACCCCACCCCAAACTCCTCAGTATAAACTTTTTTTTTTGTACCCAGAAATGTCCCCTCTCATCAGTTCCTTCTACTAGGAGACCAAAAAAATGTGACTGCCACATGTTGACCCATGTTGATTGTGCCTTAGAAGGTGTTAGCAGTAATTCTGCTGTCAAGTAATCTTTTTGCAAGGGAAAACACACATGATTTGAGTACTGTAAACCCAGACGAAAGCGTGGGCATAAGGGCAGGGCTGCAGTTGTGGCCTAGGCCGGCATAAGGCTAGCAGGCAAGTGATCTAGATTCAGACTTGCTGAGCCTTTGGACAGCTTAATTGGTTTCAAAACAAGTCTGGCAACATTGTGAAGATATGGCACAAAGCCAGTGGAGTGGAGTTGGACATCTGGTTAGAGACCCATGAAATGAAGGCAGGAAAAACAGCAGCCCTGAGGCGTTAGCCAGGCAAAATCAGCACAGACCCAAGGAGGCAGGATGAGACGTGGCAGGTGATAGAGTGGGATCAAAGAAAGAAAGATTAGAACCAAACCACCCGATACTCGGTTATTGCCATGTGAGGTTTAAGGTGAGAGGATTGCAATAAGAACTAAAAGTTCTTAGAAGAACTAAAAATGTTCATGTTGCTGGTTACTACAGCCAATGAAAAGCAGCATGAGTGCTGACAAGCACCAGTGGAACACATCTCCAAATCCTGTAGCTGCTTCAGTTGGGCTTTAGGATAGAGAAACTGCCTGTCCTAGGCTGTGGAGCAGCTCCCTAGAAAAGACAGACTTGGCTAAATAAGCTAAAGCTGCCCAAATTGGTGTGTATGTCTAATGTACGTGTTTAAACTGGCTCTACCTCTTGCCTTTGTCAGCCTCTGTAAGCTAAAGGCGTTGAGTTATTTCAGTCTAGCCTGACTGCCCTCAAAGTGCAGCTGGGCAAGCACCTATGCGGCTGGCCTGGCGCATCACTGCTGAACAGACAAGGCCCATTAGCTCCTAGCAGAGCTGTACTGGCTATGTTTGCTTAGCAGTGTGTCCTTCTGTCTTCCCCCGATTTTAGGGGCCTGATTTGCTTTAGTGGTTAGAGAAGTGTCTCTGCCCAGTCATAGGCAGGCAAGATGGACTGACTTGACTAGCAGGCTGAATGAAACCACAACGGGATTTTTCTCTTGAGCAAAGTGGAAACCCCCTGGTAATTATTTTTGTGTAATCTCCGTAGAGCTTAGCAGCCCTGGTGAATACATGGCAATTGCCTGTTTGCCAAAGGGTACACTCTGATTGCTGCCAAATAGAGCTTATTAATTGCTGCTTATCCCTTGTGACGGCGGCAGTCTCCTCGCTGAGTCCTGTGTGCATGCATGCATGCGCAGCAGGGCTGTGGTGACCTTTGTATGCGCTCGCATCCCCACGGCATGTATTGCTGCAGCAAATGCCATTCCCTAGTCCCGGATCATGCAACTTTGTGGAGTCTGAAATAGCGTGTTATGCAACCAGGAAAACAGCTACTTCCGCGGGTAGCCTGCTAGCCCGAGAGGCTTGGGAGCAGCCAGCGGCCTTGTAAAACTCCTGTTTCCTCGTCTTTGTAGTAGCAATCGGCTCGAGCTTTCCAACGGGATCAGATCAGTTGGGTCATACAGCAGCATAAATTTTGTGGCAGCTAGGAGCTGGGACACTTGGCTCTGAATAGGCTGCCAGAGCCTGCTGGGCCCCAGACGTTCGAGTCTGGATCCGCTCTTGCCTCTACTCCGGGCACGTGGTTCTAGAGATGTTTTTTGCTGGCAGCAGCAGGAGGACAAAGCTGCGCGAGCTGGAGAAGTGACTGGGTTTTGCAGGATACTTGAGAGCAGTGTGGTTACCTAGTAGGTCATAAACACTTCAGTGCTGTAGTGTGATGATATTTACAGTGTTTCCTGCATATTGGAGTGCAGGACTGTGGGGAGCCAACAAGGTTTGGAAGTGCTTTGAGCAAGAGGCTGCGGGGGAGGAATGATGCTCTCAATTTCATGAGATGCTGAAAGAGGTAGGGGATAGAAACGAGACCTATTGATGAAGCGGGTCTTAAAAGTAATTTTTCTGGTTTCAGCTGGGTTACAGTTAATTTTCCTCCTAATAGCTAGTACAATGCTGTGTTTTGGATTTAGTGTGAGAATAATGTTGATAACACACCGATGTTTTTAGTTGTTGTTAAGTAGTTGCAGTGCTTATACTCAGTCAAGGACTTTTCAGCTCCCCGTGCTCTGCCAGCGGGGAGGTGCACAAGCAGCTGGGAGAGGGCTCAGCCAGGACAGCAGACCCCAACTGGTCAAAAGATATTCCCTATGAGATAACATCATCCTCGGTATGTACACTGGAGTTGGTCGAGGGGTTCGAGTCGCTGCTCAGGGACGGGCTATCAATTGCTGTGTGGTGAGCAATTGCTGCATTGTGCATCGCTTGTTTTTTGTATATTCCTTTATCAGTAATACTATCATTATTATTATTATGAATTCCTCATCCTTTGCTGTCTTATTAAACTATTTTTATCTCAACCCACAAGTTTTTTTTTCCAGTTCTCTCCTGCATCCCACTTGGCAGGGGGAGGCAAGCAAGCGGCTGCGTGGTGCTTAGTTGCTGGCTGGGACTAAACCATGACAGTCCTTTTAGAGTGTTTGTGCTGCCATTTGTAAGTACTTCTTTGTAGGCAGTTACATGGAGGAGTTACTCTATTTAACTTGAACTTTGGTAGGTAATTTGCTCTCCATTTTAGCATAGCCTCTCCTCATACCTGCTCCTGCAGCTTGTACCGGCGTTGCTCTGTGGACAGAGAGAGCGTGGCTGGTGTTCCCTTGCCCTTGCAGTATATTTGGTGGTTTGTTTTAATTGCAGGCCTGTAGTTGCTGTTGTATTTGAGAGGTATTTAAACCACCTAACTTGTCTGGGGCAGGATCCGCAATGCCTTTGGTGTTCTGGCTGGACTGAGTCCAGTCCTGGAGCCGAGAAGGGCTCAGGACGACGGTGTTGTGGACTAGCACAGGCTGCAGCCTGGCAGCCGCTTACGGAAGTATTCCTTGTTTCTGGCATGCTGGGCGCACTTGGGGTGCCGTGCCCAGCTTCGCGTGTGCCAGCCTGGCACCGCCCTGATTAACTGAAGAGGCTCTCACCAATGGCGGAGAGGAAGCTTGGCAACTGGACATGCTTCCCAACAGGAGTTTAGGTTGGGATTCTCCCATGGAAACCTCCCTCAGGAGCTGAAGTTCAGCACTAAAGAGCAAGTAGTGATTCTCCCTTTTCTTTCGCCCAGATCCCTTCAGTATTCGCTCCTAATCCCAAGGAGGGAGATGGGCTGCAGCAACAATATCAGGGTGCCTTCTGGGAAGTGACATGGATCCTCCTGAAGTTGGCAGCTCTGGAGCACCAGTACCACCTTTTAGTGTGTTTTGCCCATTCTTAGACTTCAGTCTGTGTTTTGAAATAGACTTTAGCAGCGCTTTTAAGTTGAAACTGGTAACTGTGCTGTGCTTGGAGATGATGATAGCGCTGTGATGAGACGCTGCACCGTCGAGTTTTCATTCCTGCTGCTCAGTCTGCTGCCTCCCTCCAAGTGTGTACGGCTACAGTTGTGCCTGGGTCAGCGACAGTTGTGCTCTGGGACAAGCTGTGCTTGCTCTCTGCTGTGGCTTGAGCATGTTTCTATCCCAGCATGATCAAGGTGGTGCTGCGCTGCTGGAAGGGATGTGGCGCAGCTTCTGTTTGCTAGACCTTCTCCTGCCTTGTACTTCAACTCTTTAAACCTCTTAGTCAAGTTGAGAAACGCCTGACCCCATGAGATCTCGAGACAGTGGGGAGTTTCCAGATAGAAGCAGTTATTAGTGTTGCAGGTGATGATGAATTTCACAGGGCATCTCACAGGTGGCTTAACTGGAGCTGCAAGTTATTGACAAGTCACTGTGACTTCATAGGATTTCACAGGGGCTCCAGTGCCTCTACTCTGTATCCTGTAACACCATTCATACTCGCCTCATGACTACATGTGTTCCTAAGCCTTCCTCTTCCCTCTAACCAAGGCAGCAAAGGTTAAAGCTGAAGCTTCAAGTACCAGAAAGCTGCAGCTTGTTCTGCTGTTGAGCATAATAGTCCTGACTCTCTTCCTGAGCTGTGTGGCTGGGATTGAGGGTTCTGCTTCAGCACATCTAGGACAAACGTCTGCTGCAGCACACTAGCGGTTCTGTAGAAACTCCTTGCAAATTCTCTTCTCTTTAAATATTTGCAGAACAAGACTAGATGCACCTCGATTGGAAACAAAATCCCTGAGTAGCTCTGTGTTGCCACCAGGTTATAACTCTGACCGTCTGTCGGGGAGCAACCGGGACCAGATCCTGAAACCAAAGCGGTCCCATCGCAAAGCAGATCCCGATGCTGCTCACAGGTAGGATGATCTCTCCTAAGAGCAACGTTTTGGTTGGTATTTCTAGGTCAGTGCATGTCTGTGGTTCCTAGCCGCTGACAAGAGAGACTGCACAGCACGCTTAAAAACATCCTAGTTTTCACCTCCCAGGTGCTTACTGTGATGTACAGATCTGTTTTATCAGAATGAGGTTCTTTAGCCTCCGCAAGCCTAGGAGGAATGTATAAGCTCTGGCTGTAAGCAGCTTACATTGTTTATCCTGTGAGTGGCATAATGAAGAAGCAATAGATTTGGCTGGCTCTTGATAACGCAGTCATTCAGAACAATAGTTTCCCTGCAGCTAATTATTTTTGACCTCTATTGCTAAGCAACCTGGGCAGTTGTGTTAAACTATATTATGAAAGCAATCTTGGGAGAGAACGTGGGGTTTTGCTATCTGGGAACGGTGAAGGTCTTCTTTGGAAGTGTCTCAGACCTGTTTTGGTTCCAGAGCTGCATGTGTATATTTTTGTGTGTGTAACCAGCCTGTGTGAATGCGTAAGCCTGACCTTCAGGGGAGCTCCTTGCTGAGCTTTCAGACAGCTTGAGCTCTGCAGCAAGGCTTCCTTTAAACACAGTCTCGCTCTGTGTGAACGTACTGATAGCCATGAGTGATAGCCGGTCTGCCAGCTATTGTGCAATATTTCTGGTATTCTCCAATTCCAAAGCTTCCTGAGGATCTAGGCAGCATTCTCTGCACATCGTGTAAAAACCAAAACTTGGCTTGGTCCCGGGGCTCGGCTGCTGTGTGGCCCCAGCCCATGTTTCAACCTGCCCTGGAGGGAGGAGGGTGGGGATGGCTTGTTTATGAGTGGTGTTCATTCACCTGGACTCAGACTGACTGGGAAGATAGATCAAGAAGAGACGCCAGCCTGCAAACGAAAGCTTACCTTGGAGCACGCAGTGGGCCGGTGTGTGATTAGAGAAGCGATCATGCAGGACAAACCTCCAGATCCTTGAGAGCTGTTTTTTGCCTGATGTGGCCTTATTGGGCTGAGGAGGCTTGCATAGAGTCCTGCAGCAGATGGGTATCAAAAACATGTTTTTCTCTTCCTTTGACGTTAAAGACTCCAGCATAACATAAGTAAATAGCATGTATAACAGATAGTGGTACCTCTTAGAGGAACTCAGCAGTTGCCACCTAGGATAAAATAAATGGTCCATGTAGCCCACCAGCCCGGTCCTACTACGAAGTGATGGCCAGTGAGAGCAGAAGCAGCTCTGCAGAAATAACAATTGCAGTGTGCTAACGTTTGAGAGAACTAGTGAGAGGACAAAGGAGTTCAGAGCTGTGGTTTGGTCCTGCACCACAAGCATCCCAGCAGCTTAAAAAGGAGTTCAGCTCTGTGCTGTGAGTTCTGCTGTTGGAGAGACAGACCCCTCTGCCCAAGGGGTGTTTCTTGGGGCTGCAAGCTGCACTTAGAAAGAGGTGACTGGGCTGTTTGGAAGTGTTCCTGGTGGAGGTCCAGACCAAAACTTGCCTTGGGAAGGGGAAAGACTTGCACCATCAAAAGCAAAGTTCTCAGCCTCTCCATGGGAGGTGCAACTTGGTGATCTGTTCCTGCTCTGCTGAGTGCCCAGGACTGGGAAAGCAATGTGGAAACAGTCAGTCATATCACTCAAAGTATGCAAAATTGCAGACAGTGTCCACACAAGGAATGCCTAAATCCTGTCATGGATGTGCTCTCACTCCCTCTTTCTCTCTCTCTGTAGGCCACGGATTCTAGAAATGGATAAAGAGGAGAACAGGCGCTCAGTCCTCTTACCAAAACATAGGAGACGGAGCAACTTCAGCTCTGAGAACTATTGGCGAAGGTCTTACGAGTACACGGAGGACTGTGACGAGGAAGAGGAGGACGGCAGCCCAGCCAGGAAAGTTAAAATGAGGCGACACTGAGGATTGCACTTTCCAGGCTCATGGAGCTGATGAGATTGGCCTCCAGTCTGTGAAAACTTTCTCCTCCCTCTGGCTATCTTCCATCTAAGCTTCAGTTTTGGTTTTTCCTTTCAGGCTGAAGAGTAAACAGGAAGGATCTAGCGATTTGTTTTTATGAATGGAGGAATGCTGAGACATATGTAAGGATGGAACATGTCCAGTGCACATGGTGTCCTGAGTCATGGGTCAAACGGGCATCTCTCTCTTAGGAAGCAGATAAAGTTATGCCAGGCTGTCTGGTGGGATTTCTTTTGAAAACACCAAAAAGTTTAACTGTTTCATTGCGCAAGATTCAAGAATTGTGTTTTTTGTTTTTTTGCTTTAACTTTCTTCCTTTCCAAATGTTCTAAATATGATGTTTGACCCCAGGAGCTGAAACTCTCTGTGGTGGCCTCATATTCCTTGCTTCACCAAAGGGCTCCTTGGTCTGCTCTTACCTAGTTGTTGTTGGGTTTGTTTTAAGGGTGCCCTGCAGTAACTGGAAGTTTGAAGCTTTGCAGGTTGATTTTGAAGGGTTTAGGACATTTTTGTTGCACTTTAGTACCAGTTTTTAATGCCGTAGGTTTCCTTTCCAGTCCCTTTTCCCAAGCCAGCATAGGCTCGCAGCCTTGTGTCCTTGTGCTGCCCTCTCTGAGAAGAATGTACTTGAGCTCTGGTTTCTCAGTGCTGGTCTGACCAGGATATGTTTTGGTTGAGGAGGAAGGAAGCGTGGCAGGCTTCACTGAGGCTGGCCCAGCATCGACCCGAGGTCCATATTGGAGCCCTGGGGCTGCTGAGTGAGGGATTGCTTTGAGTACATGCTGCTTCCCAGAGCTGGAGACAGCAAAGAGGAGCAGGAGAGGTGCTGTGTGCGTGACGACGCTTGCCTTGGTCCCCCTGAAAAGAGCTGTTCTCCACTGCCTGGGGGACTGGCTTTTGGCCCCCTGCCCCTTTTAGGTGGAGAGAGTATTGGCACAGTGTCCCATCCCGAGGGACTGGCTGCGCTCTGTCAGAGCAGGACCAGGTACTGCCGTGGCCTCGGGGGAGCCGGACAGCTCGGCTGCGGTCAGTCCCCTCCTAGGCTGGCTCTGGGAGCGAGGATGCTGCAAGGGTCTAGTTTGGCCCCAGTGCAGTGTGTTCAGCTAGTGCTGCAGCAGTTGCCTGCCTCCCTCGGCTTATTCCTGCCTGTATTCCTGGGGTAGGGAGTTTTCTGTTTGGTACAGAAAATGCTGAGAAGAATTGGGTATTTGGCCCCGTGGAGCTAGTATTAGAAAGTCTGCTGCCTTCCTCCTCTTTTCCCACCCGGTTTGCGTTAGCCCAGACCGAAGCCTCGGTGTTTTCAAAGTTTGGGGCCCAACACCATATTTAGAACCGTACTTTTAAGAAACTTCCTCCAATTGATTCTTTGAACCCAAGTGTTGGCAGTTGTAAGGAGTAGTCTTATTTTTAAATTTTTACTGCTTTGCCCTCCCTCAAATTGTAGTTTTTCTTAGTGTCGTGTCCCCCACACACTTCATGGTCTGCACGCTTGGCAATAAAAATATGTAATATATTTTGAAACCTGTTTGCTGCTGTCTTGAGGGGCTCCCAGTCAAAAACAAAAACAAAAAACAACCCAGAAAACCTAGGCGTTGTTCCCTGGAGCGCTGTTCCTTGGCGATCAAGCATGTTTGCTGATATCTGGGTCTTGGTATCCTTTTCATTCCCTGCTGACTTCTGCAGCTCCTGCCATTCGCCCATTGATTGGGTTACTGCTTAGGCTGGATCTAGCAGTCACATTAGTGCAAAGGAAGTTACCATCACCTTCAGCACCGCTGATCTGCAAGGGCTTCATAGGTGAGGTCCCCAGTGCCTGTCTCTGATTCTCTTTATCCGATTGCTTTTCTGGTGAGAGCCCCTGTCGGCTTGCTGTGGAGCTATGGGCACAACCTCACGGGATGCCTTGGAAGGAACCTGTCTTGTCTGCCCAGAGATCTGAAAGCTCATGCTTCTGCTTATGAAACCTTTAAAAAGCCATTTTCAGACCACACTTAGCGTTTGAAGCTGTGTTCCACACCTTCCCAGCTTTCTGCAGAGAATCTGGGCCAGCTCTTGTCTACAACCCCCCTGTTTTGGAAAGCTTGGCATTTGCCTGATAGCAAACCCCTCATGCTGGGAGCAGCATCCCTTCTCTTCCTTATGGCTGGTGCAAACATCTCCAGGAAGCTGGAGACCTGCTAGCAGGATACCTAGTAATGGCTGTTTCTAATTGTCTTTCTGGATTCATCCTGGACGTGCCCCGTGCCCTCCTTGGTGTCAGGCTCTCCTGTGGGTGCTGCTGATGGTGGCAGTGGTCACTGCCAGAGGTCTTGGCTCTGCGCAGTCTACTCTCTCCCCTCCATTGGCTCCCAGTTTTACTCCTACCTCTGCAATATGGATACTGTACCCTGGTGTCTCAACTCCAAAATGAATCTGGAGGCAACCTGCCCTTCTGGGGCCACTTCCCAGAGCAGGGCTCCTGTGGGACAAGGTGTTGGCTCCATCTCCGCTGAAGGCTGAACAAGGCATCCTGTGGTCTTGCCTCTAGCCCGGTAGCAACATTCACCTCATCCCAGTCCTTGAGCAGTCTGTACGTGCACAGGTATCCTTCCTCTCCTAGTTTGTGTCTGTATTCCTGTGTGCCAGGGTTGGGAGCTCTCCCCTCTTCTTCCTTCTTCCCTGCCCCTCATCTGTGCGGTGGGTCTGAGCTGGCAGCTGTGGCTGGAGGGGCAGGAGTTGCTCCTTGCTGGAGCTGCTCTCCAGCTACTGCCTGTTCTTATGTGCACTTGGTTTTCAACCTGACTGGTTGGGGCTTGACACCGTGGAGAGAGTGGGACACAACCGGTCTGACCCGTAGCATCTCTTGGGCAAGGAGTCCCCAGCGTGTAGGCAGGCCATCTTCCCACTTGTACAGACATTTTCTATACACACAGATGTATATGTGTAGATAACATGTTTTTTTAACTCTTTTGCACTGAACAACATTGGAGTGAAACCTTGATTTGAAACCAGAAGACACATTTTCACGTGGATCCAGATGTCTAGATCTCTTCCTATAATCTGTCTGGTAAAACTGTGGCTCAAAAATGCTGGTGATGCCCGTACCTGTTCTCTGTTGCTGGCTGTGTCAGGTTTCGGGTCAGGTCGGTGGCATGTGTCTGCTGTGGAGGATGGAGGGTGATGAGCTCCAATTCGGAGGCAAAACTTCTCCCCATCTGCTTCACAGGATGGGCTCATGCACAGACCTGACCCTGTCAGCATTGTCATGTCTGCCTGGTCCGGTCGTGCAGTCTGACCTCCTCTCCATCCATCTGCAGCCTGTCGTTCGTGTAACGTGCTCAGCCCAAAACTGGGAATAAGGCTACATCCAATGTGATAATCCCACATGCCCTGACCCACAGCCCAGACCATGAAAACTGTCTTTCCTAAGGAAGGGAGAGGAAGGTGGGGTTTGTCCCTGCTTTTCCGCAAGCAGCGGGAGGAATTGGGGTTTGTTACTCTTACCCGTATCTTGAGTAGGCTCAGTGATCGAACTAAAGCTCTTGCATCGGTCACGTGGGCTCGGTATGTCCATAGGAGAACGAAGGGCTGTTTGCCGGCAGGAAGAGGTGTGCTGGCCAAGCGAGGGGCTGCCAGTCTG